TTCCAAACATTTTACTCTTCAACTTTACAGTAAGGTTTCAGTCGGTAGGAAGTTTATTTGAGGGAATGACAGAAAGAGCTGCATCCGTAGAACTTCCATACCAATAAAACTCCGAAACCTATACATAGCTATTTTGGTCATTGCTAAAGTGCTTTTATTAGTTAAGCTATTGGTTCGACACTTTTGGCTCTAAAATTACTCAGCAGATGACCAGAACCCCAAGAACACCCTTAAAATAATAGTTCGAGTTGAAAATCGGTGCAAACATCCATTAAACGCGCCTTAATGGATGCTTTGATTAATTTCCTAATTATCTTACACGTTAACCGAGTTGGAATACAGATTGCAGGGAAAATTTTTCACAGGTGAAACGGATCGATTGTTGAGGAAACTGTTGACGTACGGTGAAAACCATAGAGCGGTAGGTGAAGCACGGACGAACTCGAAGCGCAGATTTAGCCACCGTTTACGTCGAATGTTAGCAAGAACACGAGTCTCCATCTCCATTAGCTGATAATCAAAATTATCCAAGATAGAAATTTGAGAATCCCTGTGATGTTGTTGCAGTTGCTGCGAAGCTTCTTCTGGAGGCACAGGGGATGAGCCTGAGGACGCTACCGATCGAGAGGCGAAAGAGCCGCGGCGAAAATTCGGCCCCGATGCCGGTACACGCAGCACATTGGAGGGTGGACTGCACTCTACTGAGTGGCCAGACGACATGAGAGTTGGGTGGTACTCTGCAAGACGTTGGGTAGCGAGTACAGTTTGCTTAGCGCGCTCACGGCGAGCCTTGATGAGAGCCTCATTTGCTAGAGCTCGCATCAAACTCTGTTCCGTAGATGGGTTGACCACGTACCTTCGGGTATAGGCTTCCATTTCACTTTGAAACTAAGTTAGGATAGGTTTACATTTGTTACAACATTTCCCATCAGGATCTCCGTTACATTGAGAGGTTAAATTCTTGATGAAATGGACGGGTATTATGGCTAAAAAAGCTTAGGTTCAAGCCAATTGTCCCGATTGAGAAATTCATGATAGATTTTAGAAGTGTTTGGCACTACAGTTCGATTGTCATTTCTTACAGTGTCCAAGAATGAGCCATGCCATTCATCTGGGTACCGCAGAGAGTATTCCTGAAACTCCGTCATAAAGTTAGCTGATTGATGAGGAAGATGAGGCGCCAGTCGCTCGATCTGTAGCTTATCATGGTAGTTGTCCAACAAGGCCTTGATAAGTGGAGCATAAAAGAAATAAGGCTCTGGATTGGAGGTGGAGGCGCTGCTGCCTTCGGATTTACCATGAAGCGATATGTCAGTACAAATGGTTTTGACCGATTGATTGGATGGAGTCAAAGTGAGTGTCAAACTGCTCTTCTTGATCGGATCTGACTGCCTGTTGAATAACTCCTGAATCATGTCATTGATTCGAAAGAGGAGGAAGATAATCTACGAAGAAAATGATGCATTAGGAAATGGAATTAAAAGACTTCCTAACTACACCATCACACCCTAGCGCAGATATA